CGTACACTTTTCGGAGGACTTGTGAGAGAGAGATGGGCCGGTGTTTGTCGACCTCGTGTGGTTTGCCTTTGCCGACTTTAAATATGGGGTGGACTAACATAGTGTTCCATTCTGTGGGTGTGATGCCTACTTTTGCGATCATATCCGCAATGATGAGGAACCACCCCGCCACGACGGATATGATCGTTTAAGAAGCTCTGAGCGGATTCCGTCTGATCCTGAAGCTTTTCCCGGTCGGTGTGCGTTTTATGGCTGCCATTATTTCGTTCTTGGTGTTTGTGTAAAGGGGCTGGCCGATGGGTTGGTATGTTCGCTAACGCCGGAGGATTTTCAGGTTGCGTTCGGGTCAGGGTCCGCAGATACTTTCTGGAAATGGTTCCGGACCGCTTCTAACGTATCTACATGACCTTGCAGGTGAGATGCACATTGCCGTCGTTTCTGCGTCTTAAAGTCCCCGCCAGGAATTTCGTCGCAGTTGCCGTTGGTAGGGTGTGTAATGTCTCTGTCCAATCTTCATATCCTTCTGTTTGCTTCTTTTTCATTGCTTTTTTCTTTGCCTTTTTGGCTTTTTGCCAGTCCGCCGTCTCAGTTCCTGATGAGGAGGGTGCCAGGTTGCGTGTTGTCCAGTTCAACTTGCAGGTCCTTGCGAACCCTGGCTAATTGGCGCACCTCCTCGTCCCAGGCCGAGCACGTCGCCGCTTTGAATTTTTTTATCTTCTTTTTTCCTATTATTTCTAATGCTAGTTCATCTATTGCTTTTTTCATTACTCGAGTGCTGTATCGAGTTGTCGTACGCAGGTCTCATCAGATATTGGAAGCCCCTCTCTATGTCATCAGAGATCTGTCGTACAGCGAAACGAATGTTTGTAGCGACTGTGAGGTCCATTTCCTCGGCTCGAGCCTTATACGTTGCCAGCGTATTTGGTTCTAGTAGCTTTTCTAGTCGATACGAGTAGGCGTCGGGTGGTGCCATCTCCGGTGCCAGTGGTGGGGCTACCCTGACCGTCGCCCTATCGTTCGATGTAGTACGTCTACTGCTGCCGTTTGGTCGACGCTCATTTTGCTTGTGTGCTGTCTAATATCCGCTGTCACCGCCATCAGGTCTATGACGGAGGTGCGTCCACTGTTGTTGTATGTCCATTTGTTGATGTGAGCGCATGTTTGATGAATTGCATTCCGTGTTTGTCTAGCGTATTTAACAGTATGTTCCGGCGCCAAAGTGGGGAGAGTGCCGTGTCTCCAAACTTTGCCCCGAAACGTGTGTTAAAATCGCCGAGGATCAACATTGGGGTAGGTGTGTTCTTATATGTTGTATGTCTGTCGAGGGAAATAGGCTTTGGCGACTCTTGCGGGTTTGGTGGTTGGGTTGAGGTAGAAGACTCCGATGTTGATGGAATCTTTGAAACGGAACCACAAGTAATCTCCCTGAGTGTCGGTTTCAAGGAGTCGGAAGTCTTCGGCGGCAGTGGCTGTTGGGTGTCGCATTATTGCAATACCGCTTCTGCGTTTTCTTCCTGGGAGGGGAGTTAATCTGTGTTCTAGTACTAATAGTTCGTTATGAGGGTGAAAGGTTTGTCCTGGATTGCGAGTGTTTCTTGGATTGCGAGGAAGTGAAATTGTTTGGCTATGAGGAGTTCGCGGCATTCATGTATGGAGTTCGCCATCCCCCTACGTTGAGAGATGCCGCGTGTATGGTGAGTAGGTTGTGGTTCATTTGTGGTCGGGGCCTTTCTGCCCATTATTGTTTGTTGTTGTTGTGATAGCTCTTAGTTCTTCGCGGTATTGGTTGCGATGTTCTGCAGGTAGTCGAAGGAGGTATTGCAAGACGATGGCCACGTCCGAAGTGTGCGCCGCTTCTCGTGTAAGACTCTTTATGACGAATTTCATGTGTGTTTCTTTGGTCGTGCTGGGGTGGGGTGTGAAACCGTCATCGGTGAGTATCTTAATGTTTGCGGCTTTGAAGTATTTAGTTAACGTTTCAGCCTCGTTTTCTTTGGTGTTATAAAGTAGGAATTCCGTCTGTCTGCCATCTCTACGTACTGCAGCGATCGTGCGGGGGCTGATTTTTTGCGGCACGGGCGGCAGTTGTGCGGGCTTCAGATGGTGTCATATTGGTTATGTTCTCTACTCGTATGGAGGTAAGGCTTGCCACTCGGTCTTTTAATACTTCGTTCTTGATATCGTCTATATTTTCAATGTGTAGGGGTGCGCGTGTGGCAGCCGCTGTGCGTCTTCCCAGGAAGGTGTTGGTGAGAGGGTTGCGGCGGGTGGTCAACATCTTCTGATACGCGGCGGCTTGCTCTTCTTCGGCTAGTTTGGCTATATCGTGCAGTGCTTGCGTTACCTTCGTTGTGGGTCTGCGAGTGGCAACGTTAGCGTATGATCTATCATTCTTGCGGAAAGTTCCATCGGCGGTATGTGCGTTGGCGGACGTCACCTGTGCCTGTTGGAGGTCGTGGGCAATTTGATTAAACGCTCTAGTGAGTTGTTGAATATGATCCTCAAGACCTTTGCTGTAGGTTTGTTGTGCTTGAATCGTGATTTGTACTTCTTTAAAGTTTAACTTTTCTTCGGTATTTTGAAGGAGGGCTGCAATTCTTGATGTTGCCTTGTGGTTGGCGGCCTCAAGGTTCATTTTAGCTGTTGGCGCCCGTCTTTTCGTTATCGTGGAGAATAAACGTTGAAAGATGTTCTTAAGTTGTGTAGTGTTTCCCGTCTTGGACTGTCCCGTGCATAATAGCCATAGGTAAGTAGCGTCCAGACGTCCCGGACATGGTATGTCCTTGTCCATGTCCGATTTCTGTGTAGTAGTGCATTTTGCTCTTCCATCCGATCCGAATTCTTCCCAAGGGTGTGTGAACTTCCTTTGCAGTGTGGGCATTGTACTAAAGGTCCCATCATGCTCAACAGTTTGTTGAGTATTCTCGGTGTGATGTGGGTAGGTGGCAGTTGAGTGACTCGTTGTTTGAGGTCATTGGGGTTGTGTGCGGCTCCAATGTTTTCGAGTATTTCTGTTCTCTCCTTGTTGCATCCGAGTGAACGCTCGCAGGTACTTCCGCTAGTCCTACGAGTCGTCCACCCACAAATTGAAGTGTGTGCCACTCCTCTGGGTGCGGGGTGGTGGGGGGGAGTGGGTTGATTACCTCATCCATCTCTGCATCCTGTGTTTCTTCCTCATCGACTGTGATGTTAACGTTTTCTATCGTTTTCCTCATTCAAGATGCCGTCGACTGTCCGCACTGTGGGCCGACTTGAGGATCTTGGTTTGGGCTTTAGGTATGTCCTTTCATTTGATATCGATCGTTTGGTGGCGACCGTCATCATCTTTGTTCTTGTCTGCACGAGGGACAGACCGAACAGGTCCCGACGTTTTTTCCATCGGACAGAGTTTTTCCAACAGATTATCTATGGTCAAGTGGTAATGCGGGGGATTCGATTGGATTTGGGCGTGGTTCGATTCTGGCTAAGGAGCTTCGAAGCGATTTTTTACATGATTTTTTACTGGATACATGTTCACTTTGGAGGTCCCTCATTTTAAACATTTACTTGCTCTAGCACAATTTCGTTGTTGGTGGCGAAGCCTATGAAAACTTTTTAATGGAATCTGGCATGAGCAAAGAACAACAAGACGAACAGTCAAGTGTTGGTAGCAGAGCCTATTAAAATTATTTTATGGCATCCGACCAACAGGAAAACCGGTCATCTAATTTTTACGGCGGTAAGCAAAAGACTCTTTACAATTCCTTCGATGTCAATTCCGTCTAGACCTCGGCCGGAAACGTCTGCCGGATTTCCACAAACAAAAGATTATATATTGGGATTCAAAATGTCGAGACAAAAGTTCGCCTCCAGTTCCATCTCCGGGCTGGCCCATGTCCGCGGGTCGCGTTGGAGGGTGCAACCTTTATCTCGAAGCATGCTGAAAGAATTTCACTCACTCTTCCCGTCCAAAACAAGCGACCAAATCGTTGTCCTCCCTTTCCTCGCGACATTAGAGTCAGGCGTCATCGGTTTTTCACTCTATCACCCCACCACCGTCCACCGCATTGGGGCGACAGGACGATGGAATTAGAAGGCGACGGCAGCGCTAGTGGCCTTGGGTTCATCCTTCCCAAAAGCCAAACGTACGCTGCCGTTGTATCTCAATATCAAAAGGACACAGTGACTTTTAATTGGCGCAACCCGGAAAGGTCTCTTTTTCTAATCTCCCTTGAACATCTCCTTCATTTTGTTGGCTGCCACAGCACTGAGTCCCACACAGACGGATCTCAATTGGATCCCTTTATTCATATCTCTCAACTCTTACAACTTTCTTGGGAATGTAAGGCGACAAGGAAGCATGAGTTAGTAGAGTTCAGCCTCCGGAACATCAAACCCCCGGTTCGCGTGGTGCACAGGGACAGAATGTTCACCATTGACCATTTACGCGAGCTGAGAGAACAGGTTGACATATCAAAAATGGAGGATCAAATATTGTGGTGCATGGAGCATTGGCATTTTGGTCTTGCGTTTGGTTTGTCAGAGGTGATTGCAGCCCCGGAATCTCGACAACTTGGACCGCTGCTAACCCTTCTCCAGAAAAAAGGGACAGTACTTCAGGAATAAAACGGAAACCCTGAAACTCCCTGGTGGGTACTCCCTGGAAATTTGGTCACAGAGCGATCATGGCTTGTGGAAGGATTAACGAGAATCACCGGTCGAGTATTTGGGTAATCCAGTTTCCGTGCTGGCGGTGTTTCCGTACCCACAGAACAGCCTAAAATTCTTGGAAGGTGGTCAACTGATGCCATGCGCAACTATCTCCGCACTCAACCATCATACTCTGCTCTTATTCCGAGGTAGCGGGGGCAAGGTAGCGGCGGGGGCGTCTTGTATATTCCCTGCGGCGTTGACTACGTCAACGCTGCGCGTCCTCCTTGTACCTTCCTGGAGATGAACGGAGCGCATACCGTCAGAATAGAAGGTAGTTGGCTTTTTTATGCAATACGGTGGAAAAAATATCTCGGGATAGTGTAGTGGTTATCACGTATCCTTCACAAGACCTTGATGATTCAAAGTCATGAAGTCGGATAAGGCCCCGGGTTTCAATCCCCGGTCTGAGAATGTGACTTTTTTTATTTACCGTGTCTCTACCCTGCACCTACAAAAATAAACCTTTCTACAACCTCCAAAATAAAATTTTCGTACGTATGTAATAAATCTAATAACACAGCTTCTGTATTTGAAGTTAAGATTTTCATCTTTTCTACACCTTATTCTATGTTTATGGCACAGATGAGGTTCCGCGCTCAGATTGCGTCCTCTGCGTCGGCAACGAGGGTATTTCTCAGAAAAATCAATAACCTTTGCATTTCTTTGTTCTCTCATCAAGCCGTTGTCCGGCACTTGCATTCAAAAGGATAGAAAGCATGTGGATCAATCTTGACGATATATCCTGCAGCCGGCGGTCGTTCGCCAGTCAATAAGGATCCTAGGAAACAGGGCTAATATCCAGGGGTCAAATCGACGGAAAGTTACAAAAGTTCTGACCTTCTAACCGTCCTGTCATTGGAATAATAATCATATCCCTAAACGTTGTCAAAGCAAGATTCCTCACATCTATAGGCTCCTGTACAGTTTCTTGAGAATATGGTCTTCCTGGTTTACTCAAAGCGGCCGAACTTTTGTGCGTAAAGGTAGGAACACTCCTGCACGTAGGGTACGACTGTTCCAAAGAAGAAACTCCACAATTCAACAAGCCGAAGAATCAAAGCTTCATCTCCAACTGTCACGATCCTGTTTCCGAGATTTAGCATACCAGCTGCTAAAAGCTCTTTAAGGTCGGTTGATGGATTGATTTGCTGCATCAGCATCTCGCTTATCCAAATGCTGAGATGTTAGGTCAGACAAGGATATCACGCGTGAGATCCTACCTCACAAGCTCATTCAAATCCTCTATAGATCCTTTTAGTCCTTCTCCGTTGAATAAGGGAAGAACTTTAGCGCATATTGCCTGCCATGCTGTGTCTGTCGTTATATCTCCAGTTCCGATACTCCCAACTCTTGATCTTTCACCAGAAAATCCCGCCACAGGAGCGATCGGGATAGAAGCGTCACGAAATCTCGGTATAATCTGATGATCCACGACTCGAATATGAGATGGTAGCGGATGAGTTGATATGATTGACGTTTCCTGGAGTCGAGTTGAAAGATGCAGAGTTTTGAAGAGTGGGCATGGCGGAAATTGATGGAGAGACGTTGAGTATAGGAACGGATCCACTGATGTTGCTTCGAGGAGTGTGCGAATGTGTTCTTTGGTGGCTCAGGATGGGCCTGCCTGCAGAAGTCTGGTCGAGGCGGGGTGTTGATAGGGCAAGAGGTTGAATATTGGTGCTTGGAGCCGCTGACACAGGGGAGGTCGGGGATGTGGCCTGAAGTGATGATCCTCTTGCCGGTAGCTTCACCTCGACTTGCACATGCTGAGTTGGAGCGCGGCTGGGAGCATCTTTGGGGGGGGGAGGGGAGGTGGTTCCATTAATACTTTTTGAGAAAAACAACGAAAGGGAACTGTGTGGAATTCTTGTCCCGCAAACAACGGCTTTTAGCAAGCGTTCCTAAAAATACTTTTGGGATGTACTTAAATAAGCATATATTTATATACTGGAGTCCTCTAACTTGAAGCAGGGTACAAAGTGTATTAGCTGATGATTAAACAATTAGCATGAAGCTTTATTACAATCATTGCGCGAACGATTGCTTCCGACTGACGTTTCTTGAGGACGCCTCGGTTCGACCTCATCCATCTCATCCTCTTTCGATGCAAAGATACCACGTGGGTTCGACTCCTCATCCTCAATAAACCTCAATACCTCATCCACAAAAGTCCCCCCCAACTTCGCCCGACTCCTTAAACGCCACCGCCCTTTTTACAGCCTCCCTAAAGGCAGACACGACATTGTCCCATCACTTGCAGAGCAAAGGAAAAAGGGCACAGTGTCCTCGCCACCACCGCGTTCCTCCCTGCGTCGCTCCACAAACCCAAATGATTTTTTGGCCCTAGAAGGATCCATGTCGACCTTGTTTGCGACAACGACAACGGGGACACCGAGACCACGGTGATTGACGAGCTCTTCGTACCAGTTATCAAGGTTTTGTAAGTAATCTTGCGAGTCATGTCGAAGCAAAGGATGCAACAGTGAGCTGAGATATAGTAGGATGAATGCATGGATTGAAACCGCTCCTGACCAGCAGTGTCCTGAGAATAGAGTGTTCAATGGTTACATTGGAAACAGATCACTACTTACCCAAAAGTCTACTGTAATCATCGTCCCTGGCTTTGATGGATGGGCTGTTCTATGGCGGTACATGGTAAGAGCATAGTAGAAAGTTGATGGGTACGTAATCATTCATGAGGAAGCGCTCGATCAGCTTAGACTTGCCCACTGCCGAGTCTCCTAGAAGAATAATCTGCAATGTTTGCACCACCCACTTCAGCATTACAACGAGAAAGAGCAGTAGAATAGCAGCAAACAATGATAATAAATCCACAGCAATACAAGTACTTGCAAAAGCAGTTTCTTACCTTAACATCTGCCGGCTTTTCTAACTTAATTGGAGGGGACGAGGTTGCCGCCATCGTCGTCGAATGTGTGAATGAATTGAGAATGAAATGTTATAAATATATTGATGAACTTCCGAATTGTTTGGATGTTGTTGACAACTTTATATCTCAAAACAAATTCAATACATCCATCCCAAAAATCACTCTGCCTTAGCCTTTCGCCTCTTGCGGAGGAGCGTCAAGAGACGGCTGATGGCATTACCACCACTACCACCGTTCACCCTCACGGGTGTAAACTGCCGCGTAATTACGTTGAACCAAGGATCCAAAGAAAAGGGCCATCACTGTGCATGTCATGGTGATAACATTGTATGGCATACTGAAATCGGGAGTTGGGAGTGCAATCAAGACATTCTCGGTAAAAAGGCGCTTGACCGCAGTTCCGTTTTCACCGAACACAGTGACTACTGATGAGCTAAAGAATCAACAAAGCCATTAACTTCAGCGTTTCTCAAATTATGAAGTAACTTAAGACTAACCTGACATCAAATCCTCTGTTTTGCGTCCGGAGGGTATTCAGTATACTTAAGGAATGCTATGTCAAAGTCAATCCTCATCGAAACATGAGATTGAGGCGGTATTCTCATGAACAGTTCCAGAACACTCGGACGGACACGGTCAATAGCAGGCTGAAATTGAGTCGACAGCACAGAAAAGTTTGCTGGAACAGATAGAGCTTAATTTGTTTTACCATTGACTTAATTACCTTGTGAATTTCCCAGATTCTTGTAATCAAATCGCAAGGTATGTAGGTAAAGCTTTAAAAACCACGGAATCGCTTCAAAAACACAACTTCGAAACTTTGTTTAGGATCATTGTTCCTAAACTCTGTAAGAAACCCGCCCCGCTCTTGCCCGAATCCTTCATATTACTAAGATTTAAACTATACTCTCGAAGCATACCTGTAAGATGCCTAGAGACGAGGAACTGTTGTCCAAGCGCAGAAGAGGTATCTATAAGATGTTAAAAAACCCCCCACGGCTTCGATTTACATTTATTTAAGTTTTCACTATTTGTGATGCCAAGGTTAAGCTCACGAGTGTCTAATAATAAATCAGCGTCATTCAAAAAACATTCTATCACCTGTCTTCAAATCAAAGGTGGCATACAAAAGCTTCTTATCGCTGTTGTATAATGCGGGAATTATGCTAAACTCAGATCCGACATTGGATGCTCTTCTAATATTCACCTCGCTCGTACTCGCAAGCGGGCAAGAGCCTTTCAGAGATCTCTCGAAAAGACTGTTGAGCGACCAGCCTTAACATATTAGCATCAAATAAAACATTTAACAATACTGTTAAGGTCATCCAGGGGGAATCTCTTGGGCTAAGAACAACGGAAACAGTCTGGCTCAACACCAATGCCCGAGATGTACACGCATAGTCTTCACAAACTGTTCGCCATTTAATAGACATTGAATGATAATCAGAGTCGTAAAGTCGATAAGCATTGAAAAGCTTAGCATACCCGCCTAAAAAGTCATTAATATAATGTCCAATTTGATCTTCAACCTTCGCCTGACATGGTAAAAGCTTTACCCAGGGTGTAAGATTCTCTGTGCATGTAATTTCACGTGGTAGCGATCCATAACGTAAACTGTAATCTAATACTCGTCAGCAGGCATGACCCTTAAAAGGTCAAACTCACCTCCATCCTTTCTCCAACGCTTCACAAAGCTTCCCTCCGGCTCAAAAGAATGCACAGGCTCTGCTGTATTCGATTGATCGATAAAGTTTAAAGAGGCGCAAAAGACTCCAGCGAGTGAGTTGTGAGCCCCTTCCACTTTAAATCAACACTTCAGCATAAGAAAAGCTAATTAGTTAAGTGAATAATTTTATGTCCTCACTCTTCTCCGTTCAGCCATGCCCAGAATTGGACTCCAGTGCCAGCAGACGCTGGGTTATATCCCCACTTGGAGTATTGCCATCTACCCTGTGTAAATGTAAGGTGCAGTTCCTCAACTCCGTAAGTCCGAATGATTTCCCCAATGGCTCGCGGAAGAAGAGAGTAATGTCCACCTATACACAGTTCTAAGCATAAACACTCTCGATTGTGCTCTAACCATGCAAGTTACTCAACGCAATGCTGTCGGCGGTAGTTGTAAAATTAAACAGCGCGAAGACGTTTCCATTAGGGTACTGCTCCAAAGTAAGCGACTCCTTCAGTTGCTCATGCTGCTGTGCGAATGCGTAGGGCAGTAGGCCTAACAGCGGTGCTACAAGTGCCCAGATCATTGGCTGGCTCTTGTTTTCCGTCCTGGAAACGGGTTCCGTACAAATTTTGTACTCGAAAGTACAACAGATGGCTCCGTTGCAGCTCCAGAACTTCATTGGTCAGTCATCGCATCACAGGCCATCTTTGCTTATAACTGGCATGCAGATGGCGGTTTCCATGCTCCCAAATCTGGGGCCTACATCAACTCTCTGAATCCAGCAAGAGGCACCGTCTATGCGTTGGTTCCTGACTCCACCGAGCCTGATATTGAGTTGGCGGTGGCTGCTGC